TTCACTGTAAATGGTCTTTTATGGCGTCTCTAATAATTCCATGATGCAGTTCGTCAACTTAGATAAATGGTCTGAGGTTATTATTCCTATCTCTTTATCTTTGTATCTATTTTGCTTTTTCTTTAATTTTCTTTTTCATAAAAATCTACATAAAAAGAAATTCAAACACCAAAACTGATAAACAGACTTAAAACAAAAACAAAAAATCATATCATTGATAAAACATTCAAATATACATACAAACAAACAAACAAAACACACACACACACACACTAAACTCACCATAAACTTGATATCTCCTAATGACAAGGTATCAGTGATCAACTGGCCCTCCTTAAGCTGATTCACGACTTTCTTCAGCAGATCCGGCCGTTTCTCCGTGTCCGAGGTGTAGGCAGGGTGGGTCAGCAGAACGTCCACGTCCCCGCTGCTCTTGGCACCTCGGCTGGAGTATAAGGAGGATGCTTTGAGGATGCTTTATAGGATGTTTTATAGGATGCTTTGAGGATGCTCTATAGGATGCTCTATAGGATGCTTTATAGGATGCTTTGAGAGTGCTTTATAGGATGTTTTATAGGATGCTTTGAGGATGCTTTATAGGATGTTTTATAGGATGCTTTGAGGATGCTCTATAGGATGCTTTATAGGATGCTTTGAGAGTGCTTTATAGGATGTTTTATAGGATGCTTTGAGGATGCTTTATAGGATGTTTTATAGGATGCTTTGAGGATGCTCTATAGGATGCTCTATAGGATGCTTTATAGGATGCTTTGAGGGTGCTTTATAGGATGTTTTATAGGATGCTTTGAGGATGCTTTATAGGATGCTCTATAGGATGCTTTATAGGATGCTTTGAGGATGCTTTGACAAGGCTAAGACATTACACGTAATACTTCTCAGTGACTCACAAAACTCCCTATGAATTAGAAATAATATTTGCAGGATGCAGAAACCTAAACTCAGCTGTAGATAATGAAAAAAGGGAACTTTTTCAAAAAGTTGGAAATTTGGGAAATAAAGAGAACTTTTTAATATAAAAGTTTCTCCCAATAATGTCTTTATCTATGCTTACATTTCATCACACTAAACTTACTACAATAAGTATAATTTGCATATTTTTGTAGATGACAGCATGGCTCGCACTACAATTATCTTTACATTAAACACTGAATCTAAACATGTGTCCAATAGGTACTTATAACTCCTTCTTCTTATATTGCAGTAGTTTTATCATAATATAGAGTTGCTATAGGTGTGCGTACAGTGTGTGCGTAAGAATATAATGTTTGCAAGTGCCGACACTTACCGATAGCTCCCGCAGATTGTAATGATGAACTTCGAGTCGATCTCGTTGATTTGCTTTCTTACCTCATCCTCAATTCTCTCAATTTCTTCTCTTGGAATCTGCTTTTCAAAATCATCAAAGTACCTGAAAATACAGTAGCCATGAAGCCATCTGAACTTGTAATCAAACAAACCTGTATGACTATGAAAAAATTTCTAGTCATCATCATCATTTGTAATAATAATAATAACAATAATAATAGTAATGATAATAATTATAATAATAACAATAATAATAATAATAATAATAATAATAATAATAATAATGATAATAATAATGATAATAATAATAATAATAATAATAATAATAATAATAATAATAATAATAATAATAATAATAATAATAATAATAATAATCATAATAATAATAATAGTCATAATAACAATAATAATCATAATAATCATAATAATAATAATAATAATAATTATCATAATAATAATTATCATAATAATATTAATCATAATAATCATAATCATAATCATAATTATAATCATCATCATCATTAATCAAGGTGATTGGTGATGATGGTGAAGACAAAGACGAAGATGAAGATGAAGATGAAGGAGAAAAAGGAGTAGACGACAAATGAGAACAAGTAGAAGACAAAAGAGAAGAAAATGTAGAAGAAGAAGAAGAAGAAGCAAAAGACAAAAAGAGAAGAAAAAGAAGAACAAGAAACAAAACAAAAGAGACAAAGAAAAAGGCGAGAAAACAGTGAGACGACAGAGAAGAAATGCCGCCCAACCCACTTCAGTCCGATGATCTGATGGTGATTCAGTTTGTCTTGGTTTTTCCTGAGGTCTTCCAGGTTAAGAATTCCTTCATTGACGAGCTCCCGCGCTTTGGCTGGTCCGATGCCCGTCACGCGATTGAGAAGGTTGATGGCGACGTTGGTCTCGCTCGCACGAATCTGTTATGTAATGGGAAAAAAAGGGTAGAGAAAAAAAATTGTTGATAAAATTGATTATTAATTAACCTATTTTATATGATGTTTTATAGGATGCTTTGAGGGTGCTTTATAGGATGTTTTACAGGATGCTCTATAGGATGCTTTATAGGATACTTTGAGGGTGCTTTATAGGATGTTTTATAGGATGCTCTATAGGATGCTTTATAGGATGTTTTATAGGATGCTCTATAGGATGCTTTATAGGATGTTTTATAGGATGCTCTATAGGATGCTTTATAGGATGTTTTATAGGATGCTCTATAGGATGCTTCATAGGATGCTTTGAGGATGCTCTATAGGATGCTTCATAGGATGCTTTGAGGATGCTTTGACAAGGCTAAGATATTACACGTAATACTTCTCAGTGACTCACAAAACTCCCTATGAATTAGAAATAATATTTGCAGGATACAGAAACCTAAACTGAGCTGTAGATAATGAAAAAAAGGGAACTTTTTCAAAAAGTTGGAAATTTGGGAAATAAAGAGAACTTTTTAATATAAAAGTTTCTCCCAATAATGTCTTTATCTATGCTTACATTTCATCACACTAAACTTATTACAATAAGTATAATTTGCAGATTTTTGTAGATGACAGCATGGCTCGCACTACAATTATCTTTACATCAAACACTGAATCTAAACATGTGTCCAATAGGTACTTATAACTCCTTCTTCTTATATTGCAGTAGTTTTATTATAATATAGAGTTGCAATAGGTGTGCGTACAGCGTGTGCGTAAGAATATAATGTTTGCAAGTGCCGACACTTACCGATAACTCCCGCAGATTGTAATGATGAACTTCGAGTCGATCTCGTTGATTTGCTTTCTTACCTCATCCTCAATTCTCTCAATTTCTTCTCTTGGAATCTGCTTTTCAAAATCATCAAAGTACCTGAAAATACAGTAGCCATGAAGCCATCTGAACTTGTAATCAAACAAACCTGTATGACTATGAAAAAATTTCTAGTCATCATCATCATTTGTAATAATAATAATAACAATAATAATAGTAATGATAATAATTATAATAATAATAATAATAATAATAATAATAATAATAATAATAATGATAATAATAATGATAATAATAATAATAATAATAATAATAATAATAATAATAATAATAACCATAATAATAATCATAATAATAATAATAGTCATAATAACAATAATAATCATAATAATCATAATAATAATAATAATAATAATTATCATAATAATAATAATCATAATAATAATATTAATCATAATAATCATAATCATAATCATAATTATAATCATCATCATCATCAATAAAGGTGATTGGTGATGATGGTGAAGACAAAGACGAAGATGAAGATGAAGATGAAGATGAAGATGAAGATGAAGATGAAGGAGAAAAAGGAGAAGTAGACGACAAATGAGAACAAGTAGAAGACAAAAGAGAAGAAAATGTAGAAGAAGAAGAAGAAGAAGCAAAAGACAAAAAGAGAAGAAAAAGAAGAACAAGAAACAAAACAAAAGAGACAAAGAAAAAGGCGAGAAAACAGTGAGACGACTGAGAAGAAATGCCGCCCAACCCACTTCAGTCCGATGATCTGATGGTGATTCAGTTTGTCTTGGTTTTTCCTGAGGTCTTCCAGGTTAAGAATTCCTTCGTTGACGAGCTCCCGCGCTTTGGCTGGTCCGATGCCCGTCACGCGATTGAGAAGGTTGATGGCGACGTTGGTCTCGCTCGCACGAATCTGTTATGTAATGGGAAAAAAAGGGTAGAGAAAAAAAATTGTTGATAAAATTGATTATTAATTAACCTATTTTATATGATGTTTTATAAAATACTGTGTTTATTTAGGATTTTGAAAATATGTTAACAATATATGAAAATAAAAAAGTTGTGCATATTCTTCAATATCTAGATTAACAACAATACATTCTGATATATCAAAAATATATTAACAAATAAAGATCAATATTCCTATTTCAATATTATTAAATACAGTGAACAAAACCAGAGTACAATAATATTCAGAGAGAAAATAACAAGAAAAGAAAAAACAAAAAAATACAGAAGACGTGCCATACCTTCTCCAGTTTCGTCAATTTCCCCGTATTCAGAAACTCTTCAATCTTGTCTGCAATCTTCGTGCCGATGCCTTTGATCTTTTTGGCCTCATTGCCGTCTTTAACACGCGTGGGATACTCCCCTAGGGCAGCTGCAGCGTTCCGATAAGCATTGTATTTGTGAATGTTGCGATTTACATTCCGCTCATAGTCTGCCAGTTCTGTTTGGAAAAATGGTAAATAATTTGAAATGTTTGGTAATAAATAAAAAGTATGTTTTCTAACTTACTAAATGAATATCAAGTGCCATGGTACATCAATTAAATACAATGCTACCAATATAGTTAGACGGTAACAAGGGCAAATACTTTTTAAGGCATCTGCATGACTGCTACTGCCCCATTTGTCAACTGCAGAATCTATTAATGCTGTGATACTTTATCTATTACACTTGAATTGGATATTCAAAAATAATAATATTATTGAACATAAAATTCATAATCAAACAGTCCTAATATCAATTAAAAAGCCAACCACAACAAATCTTTCCCCAACTCACTGCATTTTGAACTGTGCGAGATGCTTTGAAAATTAAAATTCATCTTGCAGTAAAATGTTGCAAAGAAGATACCAGCTGAACAAAATAAAATAAAAAGTCCCTAGTTATTCAACCTTAAAGAAAATGGTCATTGCCGCAAGAATAAACACGGAGGACACTTATTGGCTTTTCCTGGAGCACCGACAGGTTAATTAGCATTGATTTCATAGATTTTATGTCCTCTTTCCTCCTAATGATTACCATTAAGTAATTTAGGAACATACTGATGAACTCTCTATTATATCAAATACCTAAAGGGGTTAAATAATCTTTTCAAGGGCTTAAAAACACTTAAAAACTATAGCATCTTAGCACATACCTTATAAAAATCATACCACATCAGCCCATACCACTTAAAATACTAGCAACATACCAAGCAAAAACTACACCCACTTGGCACATATCACTTAAAACCTACCCCATATTAGCACATTCCCTTTAAAAACTAAACAAAAACACACCATTTAAAAGAAAATTACACCAAATTAGCACATACCAACTTAAAAAACTATACAATGTTAGCCACACACCACGTAAACATCACAAATTTTCAGTTTAAAAAACAATAACACCTTATCACACTCCTCTTAAAAAACAATAACATCTAAGCACACACCTTTTAAATACTATACAATCACGCCATTTAGGAATAATTACTCTAAATTTACACCTTAACTTACGAATTATTACTCTAAATTAGCACCTACCGAGCAAAAATTCGCATAGGTCTCCATTGGGCTTCTGTGTGCTCTCGTAACCTTTTCTCTTGCTGCTCATCTTCAGGAAGGTGAGTTGATTGAAACCAGGAGACCAAGACCACAGAACAAGCAGAACAGGACTGGCGAGGGAGCAGGAGAACACCCAGAACAGGAGTGAAGAACTAGCAGGACGGAACTTGTCAAATCAGCGAGCTTTCCTGTTGAAAAAAAAATTGCTCCAAAGTGACGCAAGAGTTATGGTTTTATTTCCTCTTCTTATTCTCTTTTATCTTCTTTTCTATGGGTTTTTCGGATTCTTCTCTAACCTACCTACCCCCGATTTCATGTCCTTAGTCGCTCCTTGTTATTTTTAATCTTGTTATGTGTATTATTTGCGGAGACGAACGTGTCGGCGACTTGTCTGGACGCGACGCGGAATGTAAACAAACCCGAGGGAGCCTCAGTGTATTTTTTTTTTTTTTTTTTTTTTGTATTTCATTATGATTATAAGAGTTGGATAATAATTAAGTTTAGTTTTTTTTTTACTGTTGGATGATTGCTAACGAGTGAGGCTTAATTATTTTTTTTCTCTTAATTGTTATCGTAATCCATCATGATCATGAAAATTTTAGTCCAATAGCATTATTATCAGCAATATGTCTTTTATCTACTTATCTACAGCCTGGACGTTGAAAGGCTTTGTTACAATTGATATGTCATACTGTGATACTACATTTCATATTTATAGGATATATTCTCATACCGTCTAACATAACCAAATGATATGAGATTATATAGTTCTGCGTATACTCATGACAGGGTAGAACACGTGCCACTTTGAGATGCGATGTACATGTGTTCACTTATATTCTTCATTGCAAAGTTAACATAGTTTCTTCGACATTACTCGACCTGCTAATGCAATCAATAGACAAGCCTGATTCTCGCGGTTAGAGAGAGAGAGAGAGAGAGAGAGAGAGAGAGAGAAGGAAAAGAAAGAAAGAGAGAGAGGGTGAGGAGAGAGAGAGAGAAGGAAAAGAAAGAGAGAGAGAGGGTGGGGAGAGAAAGAGAGAGAGAGAGAGAGAAGGGAACGAGAGAGAGAGAGAGAGAGAGAGAGAGAGAGAGAGAAGGAAACGAAAGAAAGAGAGAGAAGGAAACTAGAGAGAGAGAGAAAGAGAGGGAGAGAGCAGGAAAAGAAAGAGAGAGAGAGAGAGGGGGGGGGGGGGGGAGAGAGAGATTTAGGTTGGGGAAAAAGTACTCGTTTTTATTTCAATCTTTCTTTCATTCTGTATCTCTCTCTCTCTCTGTTTTTTTGTTTTTGTTTTTTGTGGATTATGAGAACGTGCGGCGAATTAGGTTAATGTTGAACTTTGTATACGATTTTATAATGTTTTTACTGTTATTATAGTTACTATACCGTCATTATTCTTTACATATTATAATTATCGCCATTAACAGTATCATTACTGTTACAATTATTAGTGTTATTTCACGATTGTTATCACTATCATTAGCATCGATCTATCATTATCACCATCTTTGTTATTTCGGCTTTTAATCATCATTATTATCATTATCATTATAAATCCTTATTATTGTTAATATCATAATTTTTACTATCGTTTTCATTATCATGATTTATATTGTTATTATAATTATGATCTTCATCATTACTACTATTTTTATTATTATTATCATTGTTATCATTATTATTATTATTGTTATTATCATCATCATCATCATTATGATTATCATTATATTGTTATTACTATTAGCATCATTGTCATCATTATTTTTATCATTATCATTATCATCATTTTCATTACAGTTATTATTATTATCATTATTATTATTATTATTATTATTATTATTATTATTATTATTATTATCACTGATATTATTATTATTAACATAATAATCATCTTCATCATCATTATCATTTGCTTTACTGTTACTATTAAAATCACTATCATTATCATCATCGTCATTATTATCATCATTACTATTACTACTATTTTGTCAACAGTGTAGACAAGAAAAAAAGCAAGAAAGAAAGAAATAATAATAATGAGAAAAAGCAAAAAAAGCTGAGTCACGCCAACAGAAAATGTATTCTATAGAGAATTAAAAGAATCTGATCGATACCAAGGAATTGCGTCAAATTGTAAATCTTTGTGATTATAAAATCTCCGAATCACTTTTATTTCCAGTCTTTCATCTTTATTTTTTCTTTATTTATTTCCAGTCTTTCATCTTTATTTTTTATTTATTTATTTCCAGTCTTTCATCTTTATTTTTTATTTATTTATTTCCAGTCTTTCATCTTTATTTTTTATTTATTTATTTTCTTTTTCTCTTTTATTTCTTTATTTCCAGTCTTTCATCTTTATTTTTTCTTTATTTATTTCCAGTCTTTCATCTTTATTTTTTCTTTATTTTTTTTTCTCTTTTATTTCCAGTGTGTGTGTGTGTGTGTGTGTGTGTGTGTGTGTGTGTGTGTGTGTGTGTGTGTGTGTGTGTGTGTATGTGTGTGTGTGTGTGTGTGTGTGTGTATGTGTGTGTGTGTGTGTGTGTGTTTGTGTGTGTGTGTGTGTGTGTGTGTGTGTGTGTGTGTGTGTGTGTGTGTGTGTATGTGTGTGTGTGTGTGTGTGTGTGTGTGTGTGTGTGTGTGTGTGTGTGTGAATATACCAGTTATTATCAGTAAAATCTTCTTCGACTCCGCAGCATACGATAAGGATAAATGAATAAATTAACAATTATGAAAAATAAATGACTGATATTTATTAGATGGAATATTTTGAAATTGCTTTCCATTTGCTTTATTTTCATTTTTCTTGTCTTGTCTTTTATGTACTTATGATATCTATTTCAATAGGGTAGTGAGTGATTAATTACTAGTAATTATGTAGTCTTGATGTGCAATTTTAGTTCCTGCCATTGTGCATTTCGCAATAGGAAACTGCAAAATTCAGTTCTGTGCAAGTATAACTCATATATTTCGTTGTTTTTTGTACCATGCGAACATCTCTTCAGACCATTTTGCTTAACAAACGAAGCAGCATTTCATAAACTTAATCTATGGTTATCTGCTACTTAGGAAAATTGTTTATCAGAATTACCAATTTTCACGCACGCGTCTTTGGAGGTATGTGCCATTGTTAGGTTAGGTTTCTGGACTAGCTGTTCTTTGTTAATGTTTTTATCGTCGTTTTTTTTTTTTTTTTTTTTTTTTTTTACACTTTCAAACGGTTCCAGGGATGAGTCATCGTTAAGACTTATCAAGAAATTCCTTTGATATTAAGCAGAATTTATGTCCTTCCTTTGATAAATTAATCAATTTCTTTATTTTCTTGTTTTTTTGTTTTTGTTTACCAGATATTCTGATATATCGATCTCTTAATGAGTTTATTCATTTAGAAACAAGGGGTTTGTGGTATTCTTAACTCAAATGAAGCATCATCTCTGTGTTCAGCGTAGTATCATAATCTAGGCCTATTCCATAACCATGAATTGATGGGACGGGTTTCTGAATCCCCGTTTAATGACCTGTTTTATCTTTAATGATTTCATGGGCGAATACTTTCCTTAAAAGTTGCCTCCCTTGGGTCCGCCCGTGCTAGTTTTCAGAGGTAATAAACAAGGTATTTGTCATATTAAGGCACTTTATCTTTCCCGTTTTTATGATTTGAAACGAGAAATTTAACGCAACGAATTCCGTTAAAAGTTTTAAGACTTTATTTTAACACAATGCAGTCGTTTTCTGTGATTAATAAACGATAGGGATAATTAATTTTTTAATTCTAGTGGAGTAAGAGGCGTGTGTATAGTTCTGAGTTACGAATATTAAAGCCCCGATCTACTTTTTAACCTTTGAGTTGTGGTGAGAACAATGATATCAGTGATAACAATAATGATGAAAAATTATGATGACAATGACCGTATTCTCTCTCTCTCTCTCTCTCTCTCTCTCTCTCTCTCTCTCTCTCTCTCTCTCTCTCTTTATCTCTCTCTTTCTCTCTCTCTACCTTTCTCTCTCTCTTTCTCTCTCTCTCTCTCTCTCTCTC